GTTCCCTTGCATTTTTGGATTTAGCTTGGTCAAACAGTTTCCCAGTTGAAACTATGGTTAAGTCTGTCCATGTGTTGAGATTAAGAAATTTTCATCATGTCTTCTGACTGCTAGTTGGTGTTCATGGATGTGCTCTGCCAGCCTTCTGTCTGTCTGTCCTACATGTGAAGGATATGTGAATACAAGCAGTGAACAATACCCTAATCGAGGAACTACCAGAGGAACAAAACAAAACCCCCACCTCCACCAACACTGGCAGGGCATGCCACAGCATATAAACAGAGAGCAAACCCCATCCCATTCTAGCACTGAAGATGTTACCTAGCCAGACAATGAAACATTTGCAAGAAAAGAACCAAGCTCAGAGAACCCCAAGGACTCCAGAGAGAGAAGATTCACAAAGATCTAGAGTGTCTTGAGCTGTGAGCAAAAATAAATAAGATTGAATTTAACAGGTAGAAATGTAAAGGTGGGGGGGAGATAGAAAAAACACATCTCAGTAGGAAAAATGTAAAGCCCACATACAAAATGTGAGAGACCTGGTTTGGTACTACCAGTGACAAAAATGATCTGGGTATCCTTGCTGACCACAGTTAAAATGAGCCAACAACGCAGCTGCTGAGAAAGCAAATGCTATTTTCGGGTGTAATAACAGGAGCAGAAATCCAGATCACAGGAAATAATAGTTCCATTCTACTCTGCCCTAGTCAGTCCCCATTTGGAGTATGGGTCCAGTTCTGGGCACCACCATTCAAAAAAAACAATGGCATGTTGAAACAAGTTCACAGGATGACTAGCAATATGGTGAAGGAAGACTATCCTAATGAAATATTATAGGATGGGGATATGCTTAGCCTTCAGAAAAAAACGAGTATACAGTTGCAGTCTTCAAATATTTGAAGGGTTGTCACAGAGGAGTAGACTATTCTCCATTGCCTCAAAGGGCATGACTAGAACCAAGGGTTAAAACTAAACAGAAGCAGGTTCAAGGTAGACATTGCTGAATCTCAAATGCTCTACCTCTCTTTTGGGCCCAACCTCAGTTTTTGGTTGAAAAAAATTCTGTGGAGTGTATCCATGGTTTACTTTATTCTACTAGCTACATTTACTTCAACCCTGAAGAAACAAATTGTCTCTGACTTTGTTTATTGTGGTTTTTCACTCCTGGCTATATAATATTGTGGTCTAAATAAGGCAATGGTCACACTTAAGCAGAGGTTTTGGTATTTAGACTTTAGCACTAAAGTTACACACTTCCATTATGGTGCAATTACAGCTCCCTCCCTTCCCCCAGACAGTCCCTTGATACTTTTTAAACGTCATATGTGCTCCTCATAGAATGTTTTTCATCTTGGCTCAAATTGGTACACTACCCATTATGGTGACAATAGATCAATATACTACACTCCCATATGATATCTGTACTTGTGTGGGTTCAGATACAGATGTTGAGTCAGTAACTTATGTACTGTTAAATGGCAATTTAATCTTATTTATTCCATTTAATATAGCTGTCCACTCCAAACGATACTGGGCAGCTTACAAAATCCATACAAAAGTAAACAATTAAAATCTACAAACACAGGCAGCCTGAACTAAAACAGCAAACAGCACAAACAGTACAATACAACAGGGGCTTGACCAATGAATCACACCCACATTAACCATAAAGCCAGGTATTAAGGGCTTTCTGAAATCCCAAGAGAGTAGGCATTGTCCAAATCTCTTGAGGGATGCCATTCCAGAGAGGAGGTGTCATAACAGAGAAGGCATGTTTCCTTAGACCTGCAAGATGGCAACATTTATTTGAAGGGATCTGGAGTGTACCCACTCTGCCCAAACATATAGGGCAGGTAGAAACAATTGGAAATAAGTGGTCCCTTCAATAACCAAGCCCTATGTATTATCTATAGCATCTGGCACTCATAATATTGATTGTCAGAAATCTTAGTTGTCTGACTTCTTCCTATAGGTCAAACATTGGTGAACTAAAAAGGTTGTAAAATTTTCAGCAATAGCTATGGTTTGCAGAAGTCAACTGGTACCTCTTTTTCATTACAAATTGTTTCAGGCCTGGCTTACTGTGTATTTTTAAGTTTTCTATTGGTTTGTGCTTTATTGGTCCAGGACTATAAATAAAATAAATAAATAAAAGCTAGACATCTGTAAGAACTTCCCGTCTGTATGAACTGTCAACCATTGGAAGACAGTTGCCATATGAAGTTATGAACTCTTTTGCTAGAAGTCTTCAAATAGAGGCTGGATGGTAATCTGTCAAAGATATTTTAGTGGATCCTACACTGAATAGGGGAATAACTGGAATGGATGGGGCCTTAGACTGGATTGCCCCTAGGTGGCCTCTCTCCCTGCACTGATCCCAGGATGCACCTTCATTTCTAACAGCTCCAGGTTTGGGATATTGTGAAGAAACACTTAGAGCCTCATTGGAGGAAGATGAAGAGTGGATGCGACTGAGCACGAGTAAGTACCCATACTAGGGATTGCATTGTGGCAACAAGGGCAGCAAAATACTCTTATTTCTCTGTCTTTACTGCATGTGCCAGTAGCCTTGTTTAGGGCAACTCAGTCCCTGATGGGGAAGGAGAGGCCACAGGATCATCTTCAGAGCCGCTGTGACAAATATTCTTGCTATTTGGCAGATAGTTACTTGGAACTGG